GGTGGGCCGCGGGTTCTCCACAGGGAACGAATGCAAAGGATGCCCGCCGCAGGCGCCGAAAATGTGGTTTGTACCCTGAACGTGGTCGCGGGTGGGCCGCGGGCTCTCCACCTGAAACGAATGCAAAATATGCCCGCCGCAGGCGCCGAAAAATGTGGTTTGTACCCTGAACGTGGTTTGGGTCGCGGGTTGGTCGCGAGTTGGTCACGGGATGTGTCGCGGGCTCTCCACTTGGAAGGAATGCAAAAAAGCCCGCCGCAGGCGCCGAAAATTGTGGTTTGTACCTTGAACGTGGTTTGGGTCGAAGGTGGGTCGCGGGTGGGTCGCGGGGTAGGTCGCGGGTGGGTCGCGGGTGGGTCGCGGGTGGGTCGCGGGTGGGTCGCGGGTGGGTCGCGGGGTGGGCCGCGGGGGGGTTGCGGGGTGGGTCGCGGGTTGGGTCGCGGGGTGGGTCGCGGGGTGGGTCGCGGGGTGGGTCGCGGGGTGGGTCGCGGGTGGGTCGCGGGTGGGTCGCGGGTGGATCGCGGGGTGGGTCGCGGGGTGGGTCGCGGGTGGGTCGCGGGGCGGGTTGCGGGTGGGACGACGACAACAAACAACAACAACAACACACAACAACAGCAACAACAAGAATCCGCACCGCGGAATTCCACATCAGCCACGCACCCAGGGACAGTGAATGACCGTTCGGCCCCCTCACTCTGATAATGTACTCCCCCCCTATACACATAAGAGTTGATTATCCACGGCCATTAAGAGTTTGGTCGGGGGCGCGGGGGCGGGGAGGCCGAACTTCATTATCACCTGAAAAGTTCGCCATCGAGGTTATTTCCCTCTTATGTTGAGATAGCAACATGAAGCGAAGCGAACACGCTTTTTCAGAATGTCTCAAGCGAAACCAACAATTTCTGTCGTTCTCTTCTCCTCCTCCTCTCCTCTCCTCTCCTCCTCCTCCTCCTCCTCCTCCTCCTCCTCCTCCTCCTCCTCCTCATTCTCCTCCTCACTCCTCCTCCTCCCCTCCCTCCTCCCTCCTCCTCCTCCCCTCCTTCCTCCTCCTCCTCTCCCCTCCTCCTCGCCCTCCTCCTCCTCCTCCTCCTCCTCCTCGTCCTCCTCCTCCTCCCCCTCACTCCTCCTCTCTCCTCCTCATCCTCCTCCTCCTCCTCCTCCTCCTCCTCCTCCTCCTCTCCTCCTCCTCCTCCTCCTCCTCCTCCTTCCTTCCTCCTCCTCCTCCTCCTCCTCCTCCTCCTCCTTCCTCTCCTCCTCTCCTCCTCCTCCTCCTCCTCTCCTCCTCCTCCTCCTCATCCTCCTCCTCCCTCCTCCTCATCCTCCCACCTCCTCCTCCTCCTCCTCCTCCTCCTCCTCTCCTCCCCTCCTCCTCCTCCTCCTCCTCCTCCTTCTCCTCCTCCTCCTCCTCCTCCTCCCATCCTCCTCTCTCCTCCTATCTCTTCCTTATATGTTCTCTCTCTCTCTCTCTCTCTCTCTCTCTCTCTCTTTTAATATGATCGTTTACTTCCGTATGTCTCTTTCTATCTCTTTCTGTTTTTTCTCTGTTTCTATATATCTCTTTCTCTCTCTCTCTCTCTTTCTCTCTCCCTTCCCCCGTGGCCCCTGAACTTGTTTATCGCTGTAATTTGTTATCAAATGAAACCGAGGCAGATGAGCAACCCTACGCGAGCAGATGAAACTTTTATTTGTCAGTAAGGGCTTACACATTAAATCTAATAAGTTTTGACATTTGGATTTTTGCTATCTCCTTCTCCTCTCCTCCTCTTGCTGTTTCTCCTCTTCCTCCTCCTCCTCTTCCTCCTCTATCTCCTCTTCTCTCTCTCTATCTTTCTATGTATATCCCTATCTTTCTTCTCCTCCTCTGCTTCTCCTGTTATTCCTTCTCCTCATCCTCCTTCTCTTCCTCCTCTTCTCTGTCTATCTCTCTCTCTCTCTTTCTATTTGTCTTTCTTCTCCCCCCTAGCGCCCTGAACTTGTTTATCGCTGTGGTTGATTATCCTGGGAACACAAGACAGATGAGGTACGAGCAGATGAAAATCTTAATTTGAAGCGTTTACAAATTACATATAATAAGTTTTGAACTTTGGGTGTTTCTTTCATCCTTCTCCTATTGCTCTTCATCCCTCTTTCCCTCGTTGTTTCTATCTCCCTCTTTCCCTCCCTATGTCTCAAGCGAGACAAGCCATTGTTGAGGATGTCTCAGAGAGGACAAAAAGCCAAGGATGTCTCAAGATATCCTCGGCTTTGGCTCCTCTGTTAACATCTTTATGCTGGCCTCTGGTGGATACTTTTATTATCGCACCGTAACCGCCGAACTTTATCATCCCAGGGTGTTTATTATCGGCTGTATTCGGTTATATATATATATATATATATATATATATATATAAATTCATGTGTTGCTGTTTATGTTCGTTGGTTGTTGTATGTTTTGTGCAGTCGGAGATCCAGGAGAGAGCGTGATCCACCGCCGCTTTACTATGGAAAATTGCCGCCCTCTTCCTCCGGAACCCGGGGTTCCCCCCCCCCCCCCTCCGAAAATCCCCCCCCCTGCGGGCCACCCTCCCCCCCCCTCCCCTGCCCCGCAAACCCCCCCCCTCCCCTAACCCCCCCCCCTCTGGAAACCGGGGGGGGTCACTACCGTTCGACCCCCCCCCCTCTCACACGCCAACAAACGACCCCCGGTCCCTACCACCGTCCGCACCACATCCCCACTGTGTCCCAGCACCACGCCCTCACACCACTGTCCCCACTGTTTCCACCACCGTCCCTACTGTCCCACCAGTGCCCCCACCACTGTCGCACTGTCCCCACTGTCCCCACCACTGTTCCCACCACGGTTCCACTCTCCCCACTTTCTCCGCACCCCCAACCACTGCCCGACTATCCCCGCTGTCCACACTGTCCCACTGACTCCTCCGCTGTCCCACTGAACTGTCCCACTGTTCCCACCACTGTCCCCACCACTGTCCCCACTGCACCTCTGTCCCATTGTCCCACCGCCGTCCTCGCCACCGCCTTCACCACTGTCACCACCACCACTGTACCCTCCATTGTCCCACTGTTTCCACCTCATTCCCACTGTCCCCACACCACTGTCCCCACCACCACCGTCCCCACCACTGTCCACTGTCCCCACTGTTCCCACCATTGTCCTTACCACTGTCCCCACCACTACTGTCCCCACCACCGTCCCGCTGTCCCCTCACCACTGTCCCCACCACCACCGTCCCATATTTT